GCCTTAGGGCCCCCAGGAGTAACTGGGCCCGGGGCAGCTGCCCCTTTTGCCCCTCCTTAAAGAGGGCCCTGTCAAGGACATCTTGAGAGGCAATGAGGAGTGAGACCAAGCACACGTCTTTCCCCTCCAAGATGTCCTTTTTAATGTTAGCGAGTACCATATGTGCAGGGTTAATAAGATGCAGGTTCTTAGGGCTAATTGGGATATCAACAGATTGGGTGCGGGGGGGATTAGCGGAATCAGGAGTAACCAGTGCTGATGGAGAACTCAGTTGGGTTCCTGAGTCCATCCTATCCAACTTGTCATTGAGTCAGCCTAAAGAGGACGACAAAACAGCCTGTAGATCGGAAGACTGGCCACTACTGGATCCCTCTCCAGCCCCGATGTTTTCTGTCTGGGTATTAAGTAACCTATACAGTTCAGCTTTCCTGGCCGTAGCCGGAGAGGGGATGTTTCTTTTGCATAATTCTGCTGTGATCCTCGGAATGGTCCAGGATCTGAGAGATGAAGGGCTTGCCGTATCACTACCTCAAGAAGGGCTAACAGATCAAGCTTGTGTACTGGGGATAGATAGATCCTCCCTGCCTTCAGGTAGTTGCAACATACTAAAATTTTAAATAGGAGCTTATACGGGGTCTACTACCTATACTGGCTGGCTAGCTAATGCCAAGTGGCGAAGAAAATTACCTCTAATGGGGACAAGTGATATCCTGCTAATTGCCAAGCGGTTAGAGAGGCTCTATTTATGAGTTTGCGCAAGGGTGACGGCCTCTTGGTGATATGTACAAGCATAAGACAGAATGGGAGTGACAAGTGAGGCCCTTACTATGCAACTAAGCCAGGCGACTAACTATGATTTAGCCCAAGGGGCGAATGTACCTCTGAGATGAGGATGGGTGATGGCCTCGCGGGACTACTAAGCTAAGGCGTACAAGCCCTGGAAATTATTATCAATAGAGGCCTTCTAGCCCTATAAGCCAGTATGAACCTATACTAAGAACCATAAAGGAGTAGGGAGGTATGAACGGGAAAAGATTGACATACCTGGTGAAAAAATAGAGAAAGGAGGTAGCATATTGGAGTAAAAATTCCTCAGATGGAATAAGAGAGTTAAGACTAGGTGTTGTAGTAGCGTGGGGAGCAGAGAGGTCAATGATCAGGTGAAACAGCCTTCTGTAATATTAGAAATAGAAAAAGATATGTGTTATCTTGTCAAGAGATTACAAATTACTTTTTGTGCAAATATGCTAATTAGATTTTCTTTATGAAAATTGCAGCTACAACACTAAATGTGTAATTCTCCAACAACCACACAGTGACATAACAAATTTATAAAAAAAAATAAAATAGTGGAGCCTTATATATTTAGTGTCAGAAACATTCCATGCCTATACAGGGCCGGACTGGACCACCCGGATACCGGGAAATTTCCCGGTGGGCCGTCGGCACCTGGGGCAGAGGAGACATGTGGGTGACCTGCGGCCGCAGGGAGAGCTTGGATGGCGGCCGCAAGGGAAGCTGTGTGTTCTGTCTCTGCTCCCCGTCCTCGTGCGCTACTTAATTAGACCGGGGACGGAATATGATGTCATATTCCGGCCCCGGTCTCATTAAGCTGTGCGCTGGGGAGCAGAGACAGAACACACAGCTTCCCCTGTGGCCGCCATCCAAGCTCTCCCTATGGCCGCCATCCAAGCTCTCCCTGCGGCCTCCAGCACACCTGTCTGCCCACAGGTAGCAACAAGTGTGTATGTCAGTGGGAGTGTATGTGTGTGTGTGTGTCTGTCATGGTGTGTGTGTCTGTCATGGTGTGTGTGTGTGTCTGTCTGTCTGTCATGGTGTGTGTGTGTGTGTGTCTGTCTGTGTCACAGTGTGTGTGTGTCTGTCTGTGTCATGGTGTGTGTCTGTGTCACGGTGTGTGTGTGTCTGTGTCACAGTGTGTGTGTGTCTGTCTCACGGTGTGTGTGTCTGTCCCACGGTGTTTGTGTGTGTCATGGTGTGTGTCTGTCTGTCTGTGTCACGGTGTGTGTGTGTGTCTGTCCCACGGTGTGTGTCTGTCTGTGTCATGGTGTGTGTGTGTCTGTCTGTGTCATGGTGTGTCTGTATCATGGTGTGTGTGTGTGTCTGTCATGATGTGTCTGTTATGGTATATGTGTGTCATGGTATGTATATGTGTCATGGGGTGTGTGGGTGTCTGTCATGGTATATGTATGTGTCATGGGGTGTGTGTGTGTGTTTGTCATGGTATATGTATGTGTCATGGGGTGTGTGTCTGTATGTCATGGTATATGTATGTGTCATGGGGTGTGTGTGTGTGTTAAAATAGTGTTTTTACTCACCTTTTTTTTTCCCAACGTCGTGCTGGTCTCCCCTCGACTGGCCCTGGCTCTATGACTGAGATCATCAAGCTTGATGATCTTAGCCAATCCGCACTGATACAGGAAGCGCCTCTAGTGACCGTCTGAGTGTCTGTCACTAGAGGTGTCACTAGGAAGCAATGTAAACACTGCCTTTTCTCTGAAAAGTCAGTGTTTACATTGAAAAGCCTGCAGGGACAGGCTATCGACACCAGAAGCACTACATTAAGCTGTGTGTGTGTGTGTGTGTGTGCGCGCGCGCCTGCTAGTGAGTGAGCTTGTGTTTTTATGTCAATGAGCTTATGTATATCAGTGAGATTGTTTGTCTATGAGGCTGTGTATTAATGAGCTTGTGTGTGTCAGTGAGATTGTCTGTGTCTGCATGTGAGTATGCTTACTGTATAATTAAATGTTTTACTCTGAAAGGACCAATATATTATATAAGAAAAAGCAATATATATTTGATATATATACTCTCTCTCTCTCTCTATATATATATATATATATATATATATATATTACTCTATCATCTGGGGTGGCAAGACATAGCCTTACATATTACATGCGACAATATATGGCGCAATGACTTCTGGTGCTGGCATAGATTTTTTTTTCCAAGGCTGCTTTGTATCCCCAGTCCGGCCCTGTGCCTATATATATATATATATATATATATATATATATATATATATATATATATATATATCACACTAAGCTCAATGTTCTCTTTTGAGCAACTTCAATCAAGCGTATATCCCTTTAAACAAAAACATACAGTACAATTGTGTAAGATCTTTTAAAACAGTTTAAAGTGCATACATTGCCAATTTAACACTCACAGTTTCCAGAGCTATATGACCTAGCTCTGGTTTGTATTGCTTGTTGTTCAGTTTTTGGCGACCACTCCCCTCGCTGGTGTAGTAGTTATGGTTGTGACTTTTATTTTGCTCCCTTTTACTCTGATTATCTCAGGGTACTCACAAACATAGAGCCTGCATGCTGGCTCAGTAAAGCTGCTTAGTGTGGTTAAGGACCACACACCTTTCTCTAGAAGTGCTGGAGTCCAATGGTTTAAAACAGTACCTTATTCAACATTATTATATAAAAACAAAAAAATTGTAAAAATGCTGTCAAGTACCTAATGGTATGTTAGAGTCTATTATTAGTAGTCCAGAAGCGCGTTTTGATGTTTTGTGGCTTCCTCAGTCCGGTTGATAAGACTCCTTTGTCCTCCATGCTTTCTTTTATACCTTGTTAATTACTTGTAAAACCCCTCCAGCTGTTGTTAACTGTTTCCATTTCCTTCTTCCTGGTTGATCATGTATTCCAAGCGGTTGATCATGTATTCCAAGCGTCTCTTTGGATTGTGTGCAATCTCACTTCCTGTTTTACTTGCGTTGCGTTGCGTCACTCCCGCTGGGCTCAAGAGGGGTTAAGGGGTTAAACACTTGCCTT